TTTTTTTTTTTTTTTTGCCTCATATCACCCCGTACCTTGAATCTAATGGTTGATATTGATTTTTGAGTCAATGTAACGATGATATAAGAGAGTACTTGATGTTAGGTGAATACGAGAGGCACCTGATCGTAGACAATCTCTAGATAGATATAGATTACATATAGAGTTTCAAAGATAAATCTAACACAATCTAATCCAACAGAGGAATAATAACATTGCCAATTACATAACATCCAAAATTTCAAATGATACTCAGCTACTTGGAACACAACAATCATGTAAGAATATTCACAATGCTTTGAGTTCAATCCCAAAAAATTGTATGACACATAAAAAATAAACTTATTCTGAAAAAATATATTCTCCAGTGCAAACAAAAGTAGACTGAGTCCTGCTGATTTGACAGCCATAAAAAGAGACCCAATCTACCCTTAAGTCTATTTTAGACTCAAGTAGAGACTTAGTCTCTTTGCATTTGAGTGAATTTTATTAATTTTACATACTTTTATCCATGTCATTCAAGACTTGGATTTATTTACATGCCACATAGGCACGACTAGACTCAATGCATTGTAGATACTCTAAGGGACATTGTCCATCAATGACACGCAATACAAATATCATCAATCAAACATTGAAAGCAAATAAATACATGTTTCGCGTTCGCCGTCAATGACAGCCCGCTCACTGGGGTATAATTTCAGCACCATTTCAAACACCATCCAACCCCAGCAGTACCCAGAAAAAACAAAAATATTGGAAATAGGAAATAAAAAAATTGAATAATATAATAAGAAAACAACTCAAGGAAAAAAAAAAAAAAATACGAAAAATCTATACGAAATTCTTTGAAGCCCCATAAAATGTAGTTACTTCCTCCAGATTCTTCAGTGGTAAATTCACAGCGGATCGGGCTCCAATATAGATCTCGTTCATCTTCATTTGACCCTTCTGTTCTGGAGTCCACAAAACAGCACTCATCTCATTATGATCAAGCTTCACGAAACCGACTTCCCACAATCGACAAAAGAAATTCAAAAAGCACACAGACAAACACATTTATATATACTACCCGCCAAGAAGCATATATCTTCTCAAAACTTTTCCCTCGGTGATGTTTCAGATGAGACCTTAAAAGGGCCACTGGAACCAAACGGGTCATTGTCATCAAAAGAATAGTTGCTCCTGTGGTCAAAGCCCTGTGTGCTGCTCATGGAGTCAAACCTACTAAAGTTTTCCTGACGAGGGGAAGAAACACGATCCTGCGTGCTAAACGAATCATATCTAGAAAAGCTGTCGAAAAATGGATCTCTTGACTGAACACTGTATCTTGGAGAATTGTCAGCCAGTGAACGAGGGCTCCCAGCAACAGAATCTTCAAAGCTAAACAGGTTGCTTTTCTGGAATCCACCGTCTGAGCGAGGTGAGCTATTTCTATCTGGGCTGGCTCCAAAGTCATTAGACCCAAAGAAGTATTTCTCATCGTGCTTCCCAGAATTAGGGTCCTGAGGGTAAATAGTAAAATGACAGAAGGAACTTACCAGAAAGTAGAGATAATAGCAAAAAAAAAAAAAAATCTTTCAAAAGGAAAAACATTTGTTGTTGGGGGGCTAGAGGGTGCAACTGGTGATATAGAAACAAATGTCAACAAGTTACTAGTAAATTTAAAACATTGACAAACTTTTATTGTTATCAAGGAATACCTTTGGTCAGGGATGGTATTTTTACTTGTTTCATTCAAGTTATTCAGTGACAATTAATGAAATGTCAAATTTTCAGAAAATACACTTTCTCCCCAATTTTTCTCCAACAGTCATTTGCTGTTGCTGCTTTTCTTCTCTGCATGTAATCTTGTGGGGATGTTTTAATAGAAACGGAGATGTAATAGCAGTTGTGATTGCTAACACTATAAATCCCCGAACATTTATCCTCAAACAAATAAAGTTCCTTCTGATGATTTAGTGATGATCAGTTGCAGATTTTCATAGCTCGTGCAGTAATTTGACAGGACATGGCGATTTTGATATCTCATCAACATATAAGAGCAAGCATAAAAAGAATTACTCACCTTAGTATTGAAACCCCAGACTGAGTCGATATCATCATTGTTGTCAAAATTGCCCCAACTAGGCTCATCAAAGCTTCTGCTGAGAAAAAGAAAATAAGAAAAGCTGAGAGCATTCCAAATTTCACTACAAAATTTGCAATGCATAGAGAAACAAAACACTCAAACCTATGATTTTCAGCATCATCACCAGAGCTCTTCCTGAAATGATTCTCCGAGTATTCTTGAGATGGGCTTTCCTTTGTTGTTAGCCTCCCAGGACTTCCATGTGGGCTCTTAGATTCCTCCGCGCTATACAAAGATTCTGCATCAAAGGCACTTGAAAAGGGTTTTTCTGATGTAGTTGCAGTATTTGACACCGAGCCCGGGGAAAGGCTGTGACTTGGAGATGAATTTTCTTCCTGCTTCGATGGTGACTTCGCATTTTCAGGGACAGTAACATCAAAAGAAAACCCTGTAAAATGTAAAATGTTTGCCATCATCACATATCTTTTCTGGAAAGGGGAGGGATAAGTAATTGAAAGGATCGGGGTTACTCTGATCATCACATGTTCGTAGCAAGTGAAACTTATCTATCTACTTAAAGACCGCAATAATGAGGATTCAAGGACGGTAAATGTAAAGGCCAATAAGATATACCAGACCTTCATCCTCAAACTTGTCCCAGTCTTCATCCCATATTGCGGCTACCTCTGGAACTCCAGGTTGCCAACCTTAAGAAATACACAGAGTATGTTACATATTTCCGATTGAGGAGCATCCAAGCATACAGTTCAATTCAATGGAAAATGGACTACCAATACACCTACTTCAAATTAGTTTATTCTCAACTGGACCCAAAAACTAGAACATGACACATCTGGAAATCTTTATACAATAGTTTCGTTCTTTTTTTCTTCCCCTCTGGAGTGACCTAAAATGCAGAATTCAATTAATCGACCACTTATCACCGTAGTAACATGGTCAATCATTGCAAAGTCAAATATAGAATTTTAAGAACAGCCGGAAAATGTGGTATGTGTTATATATTCCTAACTCCAGAGAGGAAAATAGAAAAAAAGGTGCAGCAAAGCAATTTAGTGAAAACTTAAAAATAGAAAAGGAGTACACAAACAAATTAACTGCTGGCAGTGTAAAAGTACAGATATTACTGCCAAAAATTTACATGATTACCTTGGGGAAGCTCAATTAATGCTGATGACTTGACCTCTACAGAATGTTTTTTGCCACGATCAGCCAATGCCTTCATTAGTTCCTCTAGATCTGATTGTATACGATCAGCACGAACCTATACAGACCAGAGACTCGTTGAAGCTGCAGAAATTCTAGTGGATACAGGCTTGTAAAACATCAGTACACTACAGCAGTACTGACCTGAAGAATACCATCAGCACTTCCACCTTGTTCCATTTTAATAATGGCTTGTTGCAACTCCGACTTCCTAGCCTACAAACACAACATATCTTGCATTCTGAATCATGAAAAATGTGATAAGAGTGGAGCAGTAGATTTATGCGATAGGAGGAAGTTGTTAGGAACACAATGAGATATGCAAACAAATCAACACACAGTAAAACATGTTTCATTTCAGAATTCAAAAATGGCTGCAAGAGCGAAATTGTCACGCTGTCTCCTCTAAAGAATACTGGAATGCACCCTCCGACTACAGGTTACTAATACATTCCGGGGTCAAAAAATACCTTTGCAGATCAAGAAATAAGAATAAATTGTCATAAATTTCCAAAAGAAAGGCCGAACGTCTCCAAGCTAGAAGTAATTAAACAACTCCGATTTGGGTAATTGTACACTATGCTGGATCTAGCACCATCGACTCGCAATTAAAATGACGAAGGAGTTGTTGTTCGCAGCTATTGATTCTATGACGCTTGATGATTAGCCATTTGGTAAACTCTAGAGGGACAGATATTTCACTGGAATAGAACTGTGGCCTTGGGGGCATAAATATTAGACAGGAAAAGTTAAGTAGGCAAAAGATGGCTGTGTGGCTCAGAATAATACATCATTTCATCTGGAAATGTTACAAATGGTGGTTTGAAGGTGGATAGGTCCAATAGGAACTGGAAAATAAGGCACCAAATGAAGGCAGGTTCAGAGATATCCAATGGCAGGCGGAGTGCCACAGTGCCATTGGTTGGGATGGAGGACGAATACATGTTTCCTGTCATTTCTCAAGCTAGTTGACTGTTTTTTGGTAAAACACAATTAACTTCAAAGAGCTTTGGCCAGGTATTAATTTATAAGCAAATTCCACAAAAACTCCCAATTTACTGCAAACTCACCTCGGTAAATTGAAGTGTAAATGAAGTTACCTGGATTTCACGAAAGGCAGCTTCTTCAATAGTTAACTTAGAATGAATTTCAGCAACTTGCTTATATTTCTCCTGGTATTTCTTTTCCAGTAACTCGGCCTAGAAATCAAATGGCAGTTTTGTTAAGAATAAATTAAAGCATCACAACTCCATCAACAAAATGCAGCTGAATGCAAAAGCATATATCTAACCTTTAAAGCATACCTCATTTTTGTCAGCTCTAGCCCTTTCAGTAATTTCATTGAGTCGATTATCACATCTACTTTTATACAAGACCTGAAAGAAAATTTTAATAAGGGCACAAAAACTTGAAAGAAGAAATATACAGAATCAATCATAAAAGACCCTAAAGGTTCAATATCTTATAAGAAGTTTTTAGAGCTCATAAACAGTCATCTTACCCTAAAAATAAGTCCCTGAAGTGTTTGATTATACAAAAATGTTTTCTTGTTAATAATACAAATGATAAACAGAAAATAATTTATGCTACAAAATAAAATGGAGTGTGGGTTTTTTAGGAGCTTATAAGCTCTTAAGAAGTTTACTTTTATATCTTAAAACGATTATTCCCACAAAATAATTAATGAACAAATTTTATGAGCCTACAAGATTTTAAACATCTTATAAAATGTTTAAGAGCTTAAGCTCGCTTAACACCTTCTTATATCAACCTTAAATGTGATATAAAGCAAATGGAGTGAGGTACGGAGCTCAAGGAAATAAACCTTGAATGAAATAATTATCACTGAAGATAAGGGAAATAGGAAACAAGACTAGAGTAACTCACAAGGTCCTGCATTTTTGTTCGATAAAATTCAAGCTTTTCTCTGGAATCCAAAATCAACTTCTCCTTGTTGTCAACCTAGCATTTAACAAAAACAAAAGAAGTGTGCCAAGCCTTACGAGTGATGCTACTTCAAAGAAATGCAAAATAAGGAGTAAAATGTAATGCTAGCAGAAGCCCACCCGGAACAAGAGCAGTACTACATCACATGCAATAAGGTCAAGTTATCAGATAGACATATGACTGGGCTTACCAGCTAGGTACGATAGGATATAGTTTTTTTTCTTTTTTTTTTTTTTTTTTTTT